AGCTGCCCCGCCACAGTACCCCAATCCAGGTCCTGGTTTTCAGGACTTTGTTGCGGATACAATTAGAACTCTTATTCTGCCTACCTAAGACAGGAAGTAGGTCTGATTGAAGAGATAGCTGCTTTTGAGATTACAATGATGCACCCAAGGGAGAGAAGGAGTACGGCTTCTTTGGAAAAAGATTTTTTTCCCCCGAAAGACCCCATCTAGACTGCGCTTTCACTTTCAAAAAACCCTTTCTTTTTCAAAAAAGCGCTTGGACACGAATATGCAAATGAAGCACGGGATATTGAAATCTGTGCGTCATTTGCACTTTCAATTTGCTTCATTAACATTCCTCTTTCAAAAGACAAATATATTTTAAATGTACGTACCCTAAGATTCTAATGCCACACCATTAGACGTGCCACACCATTAGACGTACCAGTGTGGATGTACCCCAATGCCACTCCATTTAGACAAATCAAAGTCTTGCATCAGCTGCTGTTTCTTTATATCACCCCAGATTCTTCTCTTAGGCCGTGTCCAGACTCAGGTGTTCTAGAACAAATACTCTGAGGCTTCCACTCAGGGATAAGCCCTCTTGCACAAGTATTCTTGTGCGAGAGGGCCAGTGTAGACAGCCACGTTAATTTCTTGCTCTAGAAAGCCCGATGGCTAAAATGGCCATTGGAGCTTTCTTGCGCAAAAGCGCGTCTACACTGGCATGCATGCTTTTGCGCAAAAGCAAATCTTTTGCGCAAAGGCACATGCCGGTATAGACGCTCTCTTGCGCAAATACTTTTAACGGAAAAACTTTTCCATTAAAGGTATTTGCGCAAAATCATGCCAGGCTAGATGCTGCCATAGGGTCTGTCCTCTGGGAGGTGTTTTGAAGACACTTGAATGAATGGTCCTGCGCAGTATGATGACAGTTGCTGTTGAGATTAATGATCTCTGCTCTCTTAGACAGCCCCGTGTGTCTGTAACGAGTTTGTTTGTTCCATCAGGCATCTTTCTCCAGCTCACTCTGTCTATTATCTCCTAGGCATTTATAGGGTATCAGGCATGACAGAGACCTGGGCATTATCCTAAGTTTTCTTACCAATCAACACTAATTGTTAAATATACACCCAGCAGCCAATTCATAGACTCATAGAGCTGGAAGAGCCCTCAATTCCTCTGTGACCCCGCATGGGACCCAGGAGATCTCATCTCCCTTTGGGAAGGTCCTTTAATTACTGTTTACTCCTACAGCTGGATAAGTAGCTCAGGCAGACTTGAGTCCAGCCTATTTACATTCAGATGCTCGATTACCCACCAGAGGTTGAGAGAACTCCTTTGGACTACACTGAGTATTATCATAAGTGGTAGCAAGCCCCATGCCAGCTCTCAGCGTGGGATGCTTCTGCAGAGGCTGGGATGACAGAGAAGCGGGATGTGACTGCCTGATGGGGGTTCCCACGGAACACGCTTCGGTCTCAGGATTCACAGGTACCGTCGCTTGCTGAGGAGCTCCCCTGCTTGACAACCCCAGTGCAAGGCGGGTGTGATAGGACAGAGAACAGGTCTGTGCTCCCTGCTGCTCTGCATAGATGTTAAAAATCCAAGGGCCTTTCCAGAGGTTGGAGCAGTAGATACAGTGGAAGGTATGGACATGGTCCAGAGTGACCCTGACAAATTGGAGGATGGGGCCATAAGAAATGTGATGAAATTCAACAAGGACAAGTGTAGAGTCCTGCAGTTGGGGTGGAAGAATCCCAAGCATTGTTACAGGCTGGGGTCTGACTGGCTAAGTAGCAGTTCAGCAGAAAAGGACCTGGGGATTCCAGTGGATGAGAAGCTGGAGATGAGTCAGCAGTGTGCCCTTGTAGCCAAGAAGGCTAATGGCATATTAGGATGCATTAGAAGGAGCATTGCCAGCAGATCTAGAAAAGTGATTATTTCTCTTTATTTAGGTCTGGTGAGGCCACGTCTGGAGTATTGCATCCAGTTCTGGGTCCCCCACTATAGAAAGGATGTGGGCACATTGGAGGGGTCCAGCAGAGGGCAACAAAAATTATGTGGGGGGCTAGAGCACATGACCTTCAAGGGTAGGCTGAGAGATTTGGGCTTGTTGAATCTGCAGAAGAGAAGAGTGAGGGGGGATTTGATAGCAGCCTTCAACTACCTAAAACGAACTTCCAAAGAGGCTGGAGAGAGGCTGTTCTCAGTAGTGACAGATGCAGAACAAGGAGCAATGGTCTCAAGTTGCAGAGGGGGGAGGTCTAGGTTGGATATTAGGAAAAAGTATTTCCCTAGTGGGGGGGGGAAGCACTGGGATGGGTTCCCTAGGGAGGGGTGGAGTCTCCATCCCTAGAGGTTTTTAAGTCTCAGCTTGACCAAGCCCTGGCTGGGTTGATTTAGTTGGGTTGGTCCTGCTTTGGGCAGGGGGCTGGAATCGATGACTGCTGAGGTCTTCGACAGCCCTGGGATTCTACGATTCTGAGTTTGCTTCACTATCACTGGTCAATTGTCACTTTTCTGGGCATTCTTGCCACCCCAGCTGTTGCCTCCAGTCGTGAAGTGGGTGCATTTGAGTTCAGATTGTGGCCTGTAGTTTGCTCAGGCCCTGCTGAGGCAGAACTCCCCTTGGAGTAAGAACTGAGCAACTACCTCATCAACCAGCTCTGTGTTAATACACAGACACTATCACCTCCTCCCCTTGCATATCACCCTGGATGTTAATTGGGGGTTATCACCTGACTTTTAACTTCTGGGAAGCATGGAGGTGCTAGACTGCCCCTCTGAAATAATTATACAATCTTTTAAATGGGGAGACATCTCTTCTCCCAGTTTTATTGAGAAGTTTGCTTAACTGTCCTGTCCGAGTCTTCCAAAATACCCACAACCACAATTCCAGAGGAAGCAGACACATCTACTTTTTCTTGGACATTCACAAATTTAATTTCTCCCTGTAGGAATTGCCTTAAACTTTTCTATTTTTTGTTGTTGTTGTTCTTAATATACTTACTAATCTCCTTTTGGGACATTCCCTGTAGGAATTGCCTTAAACTTTCCTAGTTTTTGTTGTTGTTATTCTTAATATACTTACTAATCTCCTTTTTTCATCCTTAGCCCTTCCCTTAATGTATTTATCCCTGATGTCTTTTACATTCCATATAAATTTTAATAACTTCACATGTCTGTTCCTCGCGATTTTCCTTTCCTGCTTAGTTTGATATATTTTCTTTTATAATTCCTGCTCTCACTTTGCTATTAAACCACGTTTTCAGCTAAAGTTGTCCACTTCCTTCACTGTGGAATTATGGGCTTTTAACTGTCTCATAAACTTTCCTTAAATTGCTGCCACGTTTCATTCATTTATCAGTTTTGCTGATACATTGCATCAGCTTTGGGGAATTAGCCCTTTGGAAGCATTAAGGCTAGAAATTGTTATCTGGTTGCGCATTTGGGTGTAGCTACACAGCAGTGTTATTTCAGAATAACTGGCGTTATTCCAAAATAATAAAGAACGTGTCTACACCACAACCTTTATTTAGAAATTATGGCAAGATGGCGGACATCTTACTCCGACTCCTGTAACTCTCATTTCATGAGGAGTAAGGGGAGTCAAAGGACGTGTATTTTTCCTTTGACTTTCTGTTGTGTAGACAGCACCAAAAGCTGAGTTAAGCTACTTCGACTTCAGCTACGCAATTCACATATCTCAAGTTCTATAGCTTATTTCAATTGTAGCCCTGCTGAGTAGACATCCCCTTGTATTGTAATCAGTTCCATTCTTTAATTTTTCCCTAATTAATATAATTTTTATATCCCCTTCTTCATCTTCTTTAAACTTAACAATTCCAGACTTGTCATTCTGTGCTCATATGTCAGGCTCTAAGATTTGTACAGCCTGTCTTGCATATCCTCTTTCTATCTCCTGTATTCTTTATAGAGACTGGGTCTAGGTCTACACTATGGGGGGGGGGGGGTTTGGACAAAGCTACTCAAATTATGCTCTGCAATTTCTGTAGCTTTTTCCAATTGCATTTCCAGAAGAGGCTTTTCTGCCATTTGGCCCCATCTAGACGGACAAAAAAGCCTTCTTTTTCAGAGGAGCCCTTATTTTTCGTGGAATGAGGAATACAGGGCTTCCCAAAAGAGCGTGTTTGCTCTTCCGGGAAAAAAAGTGGAAGAGCAAACGTGTTCTCTGGATGCAGTGGGGGATTTCCAGGATACCCCCCCACAGTGTAGACGTACCCTGGGTAAGCAAAACCGAGTGCAGGTTGCGAGCAGGTTTTCCTCCATCCCATTCGTTAGGCATCCAAAAATTGTCTTTGTTTTGGCCACTGATGCCAAAAAGCAGGTGTTTCCATGCAGCTGCTGTTGGTGATGCCAGATCTTCTCCCCATGGGAATGCTGTAGCTGGGATGGTTCCCCCTGGCACATGTCTTGGCAAAGGTTTGGTGTTTTTTCCACTCTCAGATTTTTGAGGAACTGGCTGAATGAGGGACTCCTTACGTCACCGTCTCTGCCTGAGTTTCATTCAATTAATGAACAACGAGGAATGGCCAATAGCCACCTTCATTTCCCTGCTACTGCCTCTTAAGGTTTGTTATAGGACAACTGGTAGGAATTATTGACAGATGGAGCATCATTAAATACAGAAGTGGCATTAGTAGGGTTGGTTGTTCATAATTCATTTCTCTGATCAATGAAAGACTCATGCTTCACCCATGCGAAGAGCATGTAGCAGTGCATGTCATGCTTCATATTTACGTTGTCTCTCCACACAGGGTTACAGACATAATTCTGGGCACATTCAGGAAGTCTGGGGTAAGTACAGTGAATACAGGAGACACATCAGAGCTGGACATTTCTACTGTGACCATCACCCTAAGCAAACACAGGAAGTCAAGGGGAACGTACGATACATGCTGGAGACATCGTTCTGCCTCAAAGTTGGACACCTTCTCCTCTATGCCATGTCAGAGTCTAACATAACTGAGTTCACCAACCCCTCCACCTTCCATGTCTGGATCTCCATCCCCTTCTGCACCATGTACGTCATAGCCCTCTTGGGGAATTCCACCATCCTGTTCATTGTGAAGAGGGAGCCAAGCCTCCATGAGCCCGTGTACTATTTCCTCTGCATGCTGGCCGTCACCGACCTCTTCCTGTCCACGTCCACTCTGCCCAAAATTTTGAGCATCTTCTGGTTCAATTCCAGGGAGATCGATTTCAATGCCTGCCTTGTCCAGATGTACTTCTTCCATTGTTTCTCAGCTATGGAGTCTGGGATCTTCGTAGCCATGGCTTTAGATCGTTACGTGGCCATCTGCCATCCCCTGAGACATTCCACCATCCTGACAAACCCTGTGGTGGCCAAGATTGGCCTGGCCGTGGCTGTGCGTGGTGGTATGCTCTTAGTGCCCCATCCCATCCTTGCCAGACGGTGGCCATATTGCAGAACGAATATCATCCCCCACACGTACTGTGAGCACATGGCCGTGGTGAACCTGGCCTGCACAGACACCCGCATTAGTAGTTACTATGGCCTCTTTGTGGTATTCTCTGTGATTGGCATAGATGTTTTTTGTATTGTTGTGTCTTATGTCCAGATCCTCAGGGCCATCTTCAGCCTTCCTACGAAGGATGCCCGGCTCAAGACTTTCGGGACCTGTAGCTCCCACCTCTGTGTTATTTTAGCCTTTTATGTACCAAGTCTCTTCTCCTTCCTCACACACCGGTTTGGACACAATGTGCCACAGCATTTCCATGTTCTCATTGCCAATGTTTACCTCCTGGTGCCCCCCATGCTAAACCCCATCATCTATGGGGTGAGGACCAAACAGATCCGGGACAGCCTATTCCAGATTTTTACTAATAAAGGGACCTAGGAATTTCTCCTGGTGCTGTGGCTTCTTGAGCAAGCTCCAGGAAGAGCTGGTCAGTGACACGGAGCTGGATTCTTTCCCTGAGTCACCCCACTGGAGAGTCAAAAAGACCTTAAACCTGTTGCTGATCTTACTGTTCATAGTCAACGTGACGCTCTGGGGGTTTGGTGTATGGACACTTCATTGGGCTGCGTCTTGTTCAACTTGCCCTGAGATTCCTCCCTCCTTTCCCACCTCTTTCTACAGACCCCTACTCCACTGGCTTGCTTCTGTAGCTTGCCAAGCTATATCTGTCCTATGCTATCCTGGTTTTTTTCCTGATATATTTTGATAGCATGCTAGCAATGCAAGGGGCCTACTGAGTTACATTTTCTTCATGATATAGCTTTAGCAGAAATATGGTAGTGGATGATAAATAAGATTTATTTCTTGTTATGTTTCAAGGTATGTATTAGGAAAGAACATTTTGTGGGTAGCTTGACTGGATTTGGAAGGCCGTTACTTAATTCTGATTGGAACCAGTAAGCAGAATCTGCCAACTTCTACCAACTGATTTTTCTTACTTCCACAAAAGTTAAAGTACCAGATTTCCTGGACCTAACCACTGTGGTTAAAAAAAAGTCAGTCCTCGTTCATAAATATTTACGGGCTATCCCCATATTTCCTCCAATCACGTATAGACACCCACAGAAATCTTAGGCTACCAAGGCCAACTTAGAGCAAGAGGTTGAACATCTGGAACATTTTGGCACCAAAAGGGTAATATAGGCCCAGGAATTGGGGAAGTCGGGGCTGTTGCAGCCGTTACTGACAGAGCCTGCTCCAGATTGCAACTTGTTTTTTTTCGAGGTCAGAAACCAAATGTGTATCTCGATTCTATCTTTCTATTTCTATGTTGCGTATTTTATATTGTTTAAGTCTTGCTTGTAGGTATCGCATGCTCCACCTGCTCTAAGGCCGTGAAGGAGAAGGGAGGCTGGTCCTAGCACACACAGTCATTGGGGAGACTAAGGCCGTGTCCAGACTCAGGGGTTTTTTCGGGAAAAGTAGCCTTTTCCCGAAAAAACTTCCCCTGCGTCCAGACTCAAGTCGCGTTCTTTCGAAATAATTTCGAAAGAACGTGGCTTTTCTTTCGATGGCGGTAAACCTCATTTCACGAGGAAGAACGCCTTCTTTCGAAAGTTCCTCTTTCGAAAGAAGGCGTTCTTCAATGTAAAGAGGCCGTCTTCGAAAGAGAGCATCCAGACTCGCTGGGTGCTCTCTTTCGAAAAAGCGGATTTCTCTTTCGAAAGATCCGCCTGCAGTCTAGACGCGATGTTTCGAAAGAGGCTCTTTCGAAAGTTGCTTTCGAAAGAGCCTCTTTCGAAAGAAGCCTGCAGTCTAGACATAGCCTAAGGGATTTGTCTAGACTACAGGTTTTTTTTTTTTAAAAGTGGCCTTTTTTTCAAAAAAACTTTCCCTGCACCTAGAGTGCTGCTGCGTTCTTTCGAAAGTAAATCGAAAGAACATGGCATTTTTTTCGGACACAGAAAACCTCGTTTTATGAGGAATAACACCTTTTTTTGAAAGTACTCTTTCGATAAAAGGCACTGTGTAATGCAAACTGTGCTTTTTCGAAATAGAGCATCCAGACTGCCTGGTGCTCTTTCGAAAAAGCGACTTGCTTTTTCAAAAGTACTAGTTGTCGTCTAGACGCTCTTTTTTGAAAAAGGCTTTTTCAAAAGTCTCTTTCGAAAAAGCCTCTTTCGAAAGAGCCTTGCAGTCTAAATGTAGCCTAAGAGCACCATGGGTACGAAATGCTGTTAGATAGTTAGTATCTGTACACTTAGATACGTTTTAGTTTAATTTTGCTAATGCCAGCTGGGGAAGAAATCCAGATCATCTGTGTTCTCAGTGCCATCTTCTTTGTGGTTTTTGTAATCGTTATTCCCGTGGCAATAAAATTGATTTTCGTTGCATTTCCTGATTTAAAGTGTGACTGTCGATCAACTGCCGACCCTCACGATGGGGAATCTTAAGGTTCTACTCACTTGTAACCTGGGATAGAGAGGACGAACTTAGAATCTCTGCTCAGATTGGCCTGACCCACCTAAATTCCACTATAGCTCCTTCCCAGGCTACATTCCTCTCCTCCCCTCTCCCATCACTTACTGGATCAGCTCTGTTGTACTCCACATCATGGTGAAGGTTTTAATACACTCTTTGAACAAAGCAAACGTTGGGTGGACCATTCTAAACATTTTTATCTGCTAAACATTGATGTCTCACTGGGTTGTACATGCTCCCATTGAGTGTGAAGCTACAAAATCTTCTTTTGTGTCCTAAAGTATGACGGGAGGTTGGAAACACCTCAGAACAGCCTTTCATGGACAACAGAGAAGTAGCCAGACAGTATCTATTGTTGTCATCAAGTCCCCTCAAAGGAATGGGAGAATCAAGAAACCTCGACAGGTCATCTAGTCCAGCCTTCTAGTTCATCCCTGAAAAGTGTTAGCTTACCCTGCTATTAAATATCTCGACTGATGGAGGTTCTACAACCTCCCTAGGCAATTTATTCCAGTGCTTAAGGAGCCTGGCAGAATGTAATTTCCTAAATGCCCAACCTAATCCTCCCTTGCTGCAATTTAAGCCCAGTGCTTATCGTCCTTGTAACAACCGTTAAACTACTTGAAAACGGCAATCATGTCCATTTCCATTGTTCTCTTTTCCAGGTTAATTAAACTCTTTTAAAAACTCTTTTCTCCAGGTCATTTTGAGTTATGACCCTCTCCTCTCAAGCAGTGGCGACCCCTCCTATCTTGCCTCATAGGTCTTAGTTTTTAGACCTTTTATCCCTTTTTGCTCTCTTGTGGGTTTTTTTTAATTTGTCTACATCTTTCTTAAAATGTAGAGCCCAGAACTAGAAACAGTGCTCCATTTGAGGCCTAATTACCAT